CTATTATCTGCAGCGGTAGTTAGCAGCTGATGTAGTCGCTGTGGTAGCAGGTCCGGAAAACACACGGTTCCCGACGCAGACTCAACACGCCGAACCTACCTGGAGATGACACAAGCTCGCCGAGGTAACCCCGCCCTTAATCCCCCGACGCGCGCTCATTCCATAACCTTGCCCTCTCAACGCGTCCTTCTTCCTCCGTGTCGCCCCCAACGACCACCGCACTGCTGCTTCACCGTCCCAGGGCTACGAAGGAGATGGTTGCCGTCCCGCGGGGGGTCCACAGGTCCCTGGTAAACCGGTACGGTCCGCGTACCCCCGCGGTGGTGGCGGGGAAGCCCTCGCCGCTGGACGCTACGACGGGCGGGGTGAAGGTGGCGGTGGCGCCGGGGGAGTCGGCGGACAGGATCAGCGTCGGGCGGGGGAGGGGGCGGGGGCAGGGCATGGCCCTGGTGGGGTCGTCGCGTCCGCTGCTGGAGCTGACCTCTTGCACCGCGTGCGCGGCGCTGGAGGAAGAGAGGGCTCTGCTCAAGAGCGCCGAGCAGAAAGAGGTGTGTGCTCGAGCTTGCGTGCGTGCGTGCGTGCGTGTCTTTATAGTTTTTGCATCGGCCGCGTTGACAAATGAAAAGACTTGTTGCGGTTGAAGACAGGAAGTGCTTGCGAAGGCCATGATCGGGGACCCCCACGTGTGTGTATGTCTGTGTTGTGCGCGTGAAAATCGCTGGCGCTCGTCTGCTTCGAGGGGTGAGGCGCTCTCCAGTGGGTGGGTAGGTGGGTGAGTGCCTGCCGTGTATCGCTCTTCGCGTTTTCCATGTCGGGAGGTCAAGGGGAACCAACCGCTCTTGATTTCTCCGGGCTGAGGGAAGCGTTGCAAGAAGAGACGATCCGGGTATTGTATCTTGTCGCGCGCCGCATTTTTCAGCGAAGGAACGACGCCCTCTACTCTTGTACACGTACAGCGTGTTTTTTTTTTGCCTCTCTGCTTCAATGATTTTGCGAAGCTTGCGTCGCCCTCGCAAGGCACACTGCCCTCCCCTACCCCTCGATCTCGCAGTCGTAAGCATCGCGGTTTACCCTCCTCTCTAATTTTCCTTGTACAGCGACATGTCGACACCCTATTTTAATATGTAGCACGCTCAGGAACTGAGCTGAGAACGGAACGATTATTGAATCTGAAGGCGACGACTACT